GCGGTGTTAAGATCACCAACCCCTCCCCTCCCCCTCCCCCATGTCCCTCTCCTTACTATAAATACTAAATATCATTGATATAACTCCCAACTCAATATGTTTCTGACTGGAGGAGAACGTGTCACGTGTCATGGGTCAAAACTCACTAATAGGGAAACTTCAACTTGCACGAGATCAGAGCGTGCTCCTTGAAACCGCGGCAAATTGTGTGCCAGCCGGTGCCGAGTTCTAGTTTTGAGTTGGGAGGTATAACTATTTGGTTCTCTCACACAATGGCAAGCTTTCGTCTCGTTTCTGTAACCTGGTGACGAGACAACCCCACTTGTGGAATTTTGAATGTAAAGAAAAGAAAACATTTAGTTTATTTGTTAGAATCATAGCAGTGTTAGGATCAAGCAACGACCGTGTATAAAACGTGCTCTCAATAAACTTTATTTACTCATAATAATCTTATTTGACTACAGTCTGAACCTTGTGAAAAAAAAAAAATCCCTTTGTACTCGACGTATTCATAATCTGAATAATTAAAAACCGTTGATTATCATAATCAACAATAGCCTCCCTCAAATCATCTGCCACTTTTTGTGAGGAGGGTAAAAGAATTTTAAAAAAAATAAATAAATAATCGAAATCCTGGTTGCTATTGGATAACAATACGGAACAATTTTACTCAACCTGTAACAAAATGTTGTATTACACAAAGAAGAATAATTTATGTAAATTTTAGAATAGTGATCAGTGGTAAATACAACAATAATCGACTTGAAATTTAAATTAAAGACTTTTATTTAACCAAATGTAAATCAATGTACGTGTGTGTTTGTGTAGGGGTGTTAAAACGGAAAAGATCTGAGGGAAATGTTTTTTCATAACACTTTTTTGCGCTATGAACACAGATTTGGGGTAATTTTAAAATGAATAAGGAGCAAAAAGACGAGATAACAAGTAATGAATCTCTCGAATCCGACACCTTTGACAGACTGCACACGAAAATGGACGAAAATATTGTCGGCGATCACGAAGTCGGTACATCATCAGCACTGGAAAGTCAGCAGCAGATGTCACAAAGTTTTTCTTGGACTATCCACAATGTCGCAATATTGGCATCACTTTGTGTTGTCGTCGTTTTATCATTTGCAGCGCTTTCCATGATCGCTCCATTTTATCCACATGAGGTAAGTTTTGTTATTAGAGAGCAATTCATAGCATTTCACATAGGATATGTACCCAAAATGTTTATCACGACCTAGCCTGCGGAACAGGCGGATTAACGGGGCAGAGAGCCAAACGCGATACACGAGCGCGAAGCGCGAGACGAAAATAAATCGATTATTTCCGTCTCGAACTTCGCGCTCGTGTATCGCGTTTCGCTGTCTGCCCGCTAATCCGCCTGTTCTGCAGGCTAATCACGACCAAATTGGTCATAACCGGAAAATAAGATATTTTGTGGTAAAATATGCACATTTGACGTGCGGAAAATTCATCTGTTACAATACTCTACGGCTCATAACTGAGACCTACATGTAGCTAGGAGAACCTGTACTTACGAGTTTAGTTTTACGAACTTTGACTGTAAAAAGACGGCGCAAATGCATGTCGACGAAAAAATATTTAGAGACCTAAAGCGGGGTTGTTTCTTACATTTCAAATCTTCTGCGAAATGTGAAAAAACACGCTTCAAAATCCCGTGAAACCAGAAAATCACACAGCAGAACAAAATTAATTTTCTACCGTTTTACCAAAACATTTATCGAAAAAATGAAAGAATGATATTTAAGAGGACTGTTTTATAATGACACATTTCTAGCAATGACACGTGTTCAGTGAAAATGATGTTTTGTCACAGAAAAATAAACTTCTCAAATTCTAAAGCTTTAAAATTGATTTTACCTTGACCTGTTGTCATGACATTTCAAGAAAAATAACCAGCTGAAAAATTGCATAGTTATGGTTAAAAGGTCGTGTGCTGCCACAAAAATCGTACATTTTTTTTTACAAAATTCATCATAGTTTGATGTCAAAGCAACCGCCCTCTGCAAACTTGACGTAGAAACCATCTAAACTTAATTAACACAAAATCCAAAAATAGTTATAGTACATGGTACGGCTATCGACTAAGAGGCTTAACTAGGTGTTTTCCATTCGACCAAAGCGTACAAGCGGTACACAAAGCTCCTGGAAACGTTTCCAAAATGCGAACTATTCAACATGGAAGGCAAATTCTCCGTAAACGTTTTTGAGAATTTTATGATATACCTCGTGAGGTTGTCCTCTTTGACAAGAACGTCCAGAAAATGGTGTGTTCCATTCTCCACAGCTGAAAACGTCCGGAAACTGATACTGATACGTCTTCTTGCTTTAATTACTTTACTCCAACAGGCAAAATCTAGAGGAGTATCTACCTCTGTGGTGGGTCTAGTCTTTGCAACTTATCCACTCCTGGTCTTCATTTGTGCTCCTATCTGTGGACTCCTGGTTAGCAACTTTATGCGTTTCCCCATCCCCTTATTTATAGAAAGATCGACCAAAGAATTACTTGTTCACAAAGCTTAATTAGTTGATTAAATTGTATTGGCTACATTTCATTGCAATGGTAACCTTGCCAACCACAGGCCAAGAAACCGTTTAAACCAAGTCTTGTTAGTTTCAGTTGTTTCTAAGCTAAAAATGCGCTTAAAATATTGGTAATCGTTTGTGACTGTAAGCTCGCAGAGGCTACATTGTAATTAATTTGTGCATACTATTTGACAGATAGCAAAGTATGGCCCTAACAGAGTTCTCTATTTTGGTATATTTACTGGCGGGGCATCTTTGACCCTGTTTGGGTAAGAAAACATTGACTCAAATATAACAATGTTCCAATGAATTCCTCCTTGCTTGCTTGCTTCCTTCCTTTAGTCCCCTGACTTCATTATTCCTTTGTTTGTTGTTGTTTCAAATTTTGAGGCGGAGAGGTTAATGACTACAACTTTCGGTTTCTTGCTTTCAGCTTTGGTGCCTGGATTTCTAGTACAACGGAATTCATCGTCTTAAGTTTCCTGTTGAGGGCGCTTTCCGCATTGGGAGGAGCTGCCTCTGAAACTTCAGCCATGTCTATTGCGATAGAAGAGTTTCCAGAAAGATTAGGAATGGCTTCTGTAAGTTTTTTTTTCTAATAATCAGAATACAAATCGCAACAAAACAAATCTAATATACTGTTAGCAAGATTCTCAGCTGGATAAACGGTCGCACTTAGTGAAACAGGCTAAACATTAATCGTCAAGTGTAAGGAAACTTTTTCCCATCAAACTCTAAAGGTAGGCAGTCAGAATTTGTGGTTGAGTGTCTCAAACCTCCTCGCTCACGGCTAACATAGGAATATGACAGAATGCTATCAACTACCTGATCAAGTTCAAGTGGTCAATTTAATTATTTCCAAATATTGATCAAGTTAACATACGCTTGCCAGCAACGCTTGCTCCCTAGCTGGAATACATTTCAGTAAAAATATGGCAAGTTTAGGGTCCCATATTTCCATGAGTTTACAACAGACTCTTATGAAACTTCGCAAATTCACTAAACTTGGCACAGTAAATCGATCCAGGGAGTTGGCTTTTGTTGTTTTTGGGTCAAATCGGTAAAAAGGTCCGTTATTTGGTATCTTCTCCTAAACAGTGAGATGTATTGTTTTAGAAAAATGTTTTTATCATTAAGAGAACATTTTATGAATTATATCCAATTTTTAATTTTACCTGCGGTTTAAGGGCTTCATAGAGACGTTTGTAGGAGTTGGATTATCTCTTGGACCAGTCTTTGGAGGAGGTCTCTACACAGTAAGTAATTAATACGACCATCAGCAATCGTTTATGAGAGATTTTAGAAAACTCTACGACTGATAATGCACTGATAATGATAATGAGGATTCTGACAAGAATTTTACTCAGCTCTTAAATTTTAAAATGGCATGGTTATTATAGTAACTCTTCATTATAGTCCAGAGTTGAGAAATTTTCCTTGGGGACTCACCCCTATTGCTACCAATTTGGCAAAGGTCTGCAAACGAAAACGCTGCTGCCTGTTAAACGTAGCTCCTAGTGCCCGCGGGTACGCCGCTGAAACAAAGCACATTTCACCATGTTAGCCTAGTAAGCGTTCCCACAGGGTGGTGGGTGCGACAACACGCACGAAAAACTCGAGTTGCAGTGGCAGAGATAGGATTTTACCTTCAGTTAATTCTTATGTCATTTTCAGATTGGTGGATTTGAACTTCCGTTCTTCGTAATTGGTTGTTCCATGGTCGCTGCTATCCCCGTATTATTATGTACGCTCTCAAGTCGATCAGACGAAAGTTCTGATCAAAGGGAGGCTTTATATCCGATAGTCGAGTCCGTAAAAATTCCCGCTGTGTCGATGCTTGGTGAGTCTATTATCCACGTGTTATGTATGCATTAACATTGGTCGACATACACTTTCTCCAGTGATGTTATATTTCTGAAAAGAAACGAAGCAATTCGAAATATTTCACAAACACTGATTATGAAAACCTGAACTTACGAAAAAGCACTCGGGAACTAGTTTGAGCCAATTTGTATGTTGCCGAGTACAAACTGCTGAGGTCAGTTTTGAAACTATTTTAATGTTAAAAAGTAGTGCACAAGACCGCGATTTTTTAAACATCCAGTTTGAGTGTAAAGCTGTTTCTTTCACAGCTCTTTGCTTCATTACAGCCGGAATGACACAAAATTACTTCGAACCCATTTTGGGGCCGAACTTGGAAAAGGTAAGTAGCTTGATTCTTAATTAATCTCATAACCTAGACTTTGGTTTGGTCCAAGTGTGCTGAGGTTTACAAAAAAGTTTTCTGTGTCCATTTTTTCGACCAGGTGTTGAACCTCAATACAGCTCAGATCGGTCTGATATTTCTTGTACCTGCCTTATTGTATGCACTTGTCACACCACTTGCGGGATGGATAGGAGATAAAACGGTTCGTAAGTATTCATTGAAGTCTTAAATGCGTTATAAACTCCTGGACTCATAATACACGCTAAGTCTTGACGTTGTTACAATTGTGGCAGCCAAACACTGCCTTGCGATTGGGAAGCGGGAATCAATAATATCAGTGTCCGGGGTGGGTGGGGGGAGAACCTCCCTTATGAAAAGGTCGGGGATGCTTGTCAACTAGCTAACTTCGACACAAGCAATAACAGCATTCCTCAGGGACGGCGGAGCCGGGGGGGGGGCTTAACCCCCCAAAATACAATAAAATAATAATTTTAAAAAATAAAATAATAATTTTACAAATATCTCCAGACCCCTTTAAGTTAGCGCCTCTGGCGCTCGCTTGTAAGAACCTCCCCCCCCGCCCAATTCAAAATACGCGCCGCCATACCCATTTCTTTGTATCATAACAGGATAAAACGAGACAGAAACCTCCATCCTGGATTCTTTTATACATTGGTTAACTTATTTTGCCCAGCGGAAGAAAATAACCAGCAAACAGAAATACTTTTGCTGGGTTTTTTAAAGTTCTTTTTAGATCGATATTCGAAAAGAAAAGCAATAATTGTTTGTTTGTTTGCAGCAATGCTACCGATGGCTGGCAGTGTCAGGGTTCATTGGCGCTGGTTTTGGTAGTTTTCTGTTAGGACCTGCTCCCTTTCTCACGTCTTTCCTGCCTACCAAGTATGTTATTATGACGATCAGGCAACTATCACCTTAATTTCATTATATAGCTGTAGTAAACTGGTCCAAGATGACAAACGATGAAAAGCCTGGACATCTGGTTTCAACCACGGTCGCAGCAATTCGATGTACGGAGCACTGATCTAGACGTACCGCAAACGAGTGAATTTCGTCAAATTACTTTTCTATTACAGTGCGCAAAAGATGACTGTTCATCCCGTCTACGAAAAAGTTCCAAGTACACTTCAGAATGACTTTCTGACAACAAATTATCCAGTAAAGTCGTCTCTTTATCACTGCTAATAAGCCCCGACCACTCGTGACCCGCAATTTTAGCTCGTTAGTATAGGTCCACCAAAACAAATCTTACGTATACATAGTTGCAAGAGCATATTCTTACGTGTAAACGGAGACCACTGGAACAGTTCCCATTTTTATTTCCAGAAGAGTCTGGTTTGTGTGCGTGGCCATGGCGGTCACTGGTTTTTCATGGGGAGTTTACTTTGTGCAACTGATGCCAGATTTAGTTATGGTCATGAGGTGAGAAGCTACCACTCGAATTCAATTCTTTCAGTTTCATATTCATTGTGCCTGGATTAGTTGCATTTAGCTTAAGTAACTCAGTAGGTTTCATTAACCGGATACCCGTGTCGAAACTGAATGGGTGCCTTAGAAAATTACTTGTTCAACTGATATTACCACTTCCACCATATCATCTTGATCTTGATTATGTACATTGTAAAAGGTGAGGTTATGTCCGCATACGAGCGAGTAGCCCATCAGGCCGGAGCGTATCCACGTTTCTGTGGCATGAAGCGACTAGGAGTACTTCTTCACCCCCCTGGATGGAATGCCAGTCCATAGCAGGGTTACCCCAACATTTAAATTCGGGGTACCCATTTATACACCTGGGTGGAGAGAGACACTGTGAGAGTAAAGTGTCTTGCCTTAGGTCACAACACAATGTCCCCGGCCAGGGCTTTAACCCGGGCCGCTTGATCGGGAGAAGAGTGCACTAACCATGAGGCCACCGTGCTTCCCCTTATGTATCATGGCCTTTTCTGTATCGGCGCTCGATCAAATACTTGTACTTTAGAGAATAGAGTTTCTTTCAATCTTGTGTACTTTGTTTATAGGGAGAACGGAATGGCAGACAGTTCCTCCACGCGTGGAGTGGTTTCAAGTATATTAAGCGGCATGTATAACTTGGGGTATGCCGTTCCGCTCTTTACAACCTGTTTTAATATCTATCAAGATGTTTTACGTCGCATTTATTGGCCAAACAACAAGTGGTGCACTTGTACTAGACACTTATCACGCGATAATCTCCAGTTTAGAGATACATTTGTAAGGCTGTTACCATTTCCTTACCAAAAATGTAGGGAATTTCGGCCGGGAATTTTCGTTTGCGAGTCGAAGAATGCCGGTTCCATTTATGGTTTCATTTTGCTTAAGGCGCGAGGCCGTGAAAGCCAAAAGGTTGTAGCTGCCCCAAGCGATGCACAACGGAAGGTCCGGGACAACCTTGTAGATATTACAGTTGTTTTCTGTTTTACAAAATATTGCTGGGAATTTTGGTTGGTATGTAACTGGAACACCGCTTTTCTGTTCAGTTCACGAACCGGATTTTCCAGATTTTTTCGTAAATGGAACGCAACCACAGTAAGCCACAATGTCCTAATAGAGAGCATTGTGCGTGGCACTTTCGATATCTGTTCACGTGCTCTGGGACAATAAAGGATAAGGAAATAAAACTAGCCTGTTGAGACACTAGTCTCCAAGGAGGCTTATGGTAGTTAATGAGATCGAGGTACCGTCTGAACAGAAAGAACTAAATTGAAGCTAACATACAAAATACTAAACAACGGCTTCTTACTCGTTTCTTAGTGACAGCATCGCAAGTCGAAAGTCAAATCCAGCATGTCAATTTTAAATACGTCGTTCAACTTGAAACTGATCAGAGTAAATTTGGTCCGAAGTCATTCTCTAGTCGTGCTTGTCATGTTCATATTGCAGTGCCGCCATTGGTCCAACACTGGCCGGGATCATAGATGAGCACACTGGATTTCAGTGGGCCATGGTGGTAAGATTCGGAGTGATTCTCACACACACTTTTAAAACTATTACCAGTCGTTGCGTGGCTAATTTTCGTTTTCTATTTAGTTTTTGTCTGATTTCTTCTTTTACTCTCATCTTCGAATTTTCTTTCTGAAAAATCGTCCACTTCTGTAAGATCAAGACTGACGTCTGTTGAGTGACTGAAGTACATTCCACTTTAATCATTTTTTATGTTTTCAGATAGTCGGTATCATCTGTTTTGTCCAGGTGAGTTTTTAACCATTACATCCCAAAGCTCTGATTGGTCGAAATCCAAATTCAGCATGTTACTTCTGGTCAGTTTTGTTGTTTTCAAAACCAATAAAAATCGATATATCTCGAGAGTCGCTCGTTTCGTCAAGCCTTCGCAGTAAGGAAACAACAGAGGTACGAGATTGGACTAATCATGCAGTCACGTTTGTAGTCATTTCATGTAACATGTGGTTTATAACACATTCGTTGTTAAATCGAACTGACTGTACGTAAATTCAAGGGTACTGTTTACGAATCGTTTCAGCTAGAGGTTAAATTTTCTCCATCACCTCCGGCTGTCTGAACTTACAACTGCAAAGTTTCTCGTTTCGGCTTGTTTGTTAAATTCATTTCTCATATTTTTCACGTAATATTAAATATGAATAGTTCAGGATTCTTACGAGCTCATTACTTAATCATATTATTTGTTTTCAGGCTGCAGGGTTGATAGCGTTTACTTTGTTAGGAACAATTGATGCCAAAAGGTAGGTAAAAGTTGCCCAGTCGAGCGCGTTCGCTCCCTCGGGGGGGGGGGGNGGGAGGGGGATTCCCATATGAAAAGGATGGGGGTGCTCGTCGTACTTTTTTCAAAAAGCCCACAGCGGGAACTTTAAGCTGAAAGAGATATGACGGGAGATAATGTGTTGTTTCAGAATTGGTGGCTCTTGAGGGTGAAAAAAATTTCAAGCCACGCGCACAAAACAGGCCTAGGATGGGGTTCTTTTCGACGAGCACCCCCGTTTTTTTCATGTTGGAGTTCCCCCCGCGGGGTTCGCTCACCGACTCACTAGGAGGTACTTGACCTGCCACGACAAAGCGTAACGGTTTATTGTAACGCGTAACCTCCTTCACAGACGTCTTTTAGGCTCATCACCTAATCATTCCTGAGAAAGTTGCGTGACCAGCCCAAAGAGCTTCTGCGCAGCGCAAGAGACTGCGTAAGTACAAGAGGGCGCAGAGAAACAGTATAAATCAGGAGTATAATTAAAGAAAACGTAACTTACACGGCGCGACAAAAATTTAGTCATTGCAATGGTAAAATTATATATGAATCGTTCATAAGGATTGTTAAGTACTCCAGACTTACGGAATGACGTTACCAACTAGCACAGGGTGGAGGAATTCTTTTAATTTCACAACGGAACACCCTCAGAGGTGTTTCGCGTCCAAGCGACGAAGCGCGTGCGATTTAAAATATAGATACCTAAACCCCATAAGAAATTAAAGATTATAGAGCTATATCAAACTATACCAAGAATTTTGAGATAAAATGAATCGTCGAACTTCTCACGACAACCGAATGAATATCTTCTCACTCTTTAGAACGAGTAGATATATTGATTGAACTTCGGTTTTTGTTTCTTTCTTCAAGGCAAAAGAAGCCATATTCTCCGCTTGTGGCTTCTGATTCAAGTAATGGTGAAGAGGTAATAGTAAAACATTCCGTTGCTGAACAAAAAACCTCTTGAGACCATGAACGGAAGAGGATCTGTGGTATGGAGGGAAGTTCTGCGTGGAATCTCACTTCTCAGTTAAATTACACACATTTTAGTCATGTTAATGCGAATGTTATCTAGAGACCTGAGCCAAGTCGTGCTAACTGAGTTAAACGCCTCCACAGAGTTTTATCCATTGAAGGTCGTACGACGAAAAAGATCCCATTATAAGCTATGAAGAAACATAATTTTAGAGAACCTAGTTTTTTTACTTGAGAGATGACTACACCTTTTATAAATTCACTGGTAGATTTACAAATTTACAAAATTTATGTGAACGCTTCATCAGAAGAAACTAACTGAAAACATATATGTGCACGACGTTTTTAACAATGTTCGGTAGCCATGAATGATATTATTAAATTGTTTTCATTTTTTATTGAACACCAGAGGTATTGATAGTGATGTGGAGGGTGATCAGTGGTTTCCTTACCCTGCGAGCAGTTAGTTTCTCCTACGCCAAACGAGAGCGTAGGAGAACCCAACTGCTCGCAGGGTAGGCTTTCTTATTCTTAGTAGAATTCTACTAGAACACTAATGCAAATGCTGCAATCTGACCACTAAAATCTGATTGGCTGAGTGATCGTACACTATCAGCCATTAGAGTGCAGTGGCTGAAGGTCGTCTACGAAATGGCGACGGTTTTTCGTTTTCCAAAGTTTCGGAGGAACATTTTGATCGCTTTCTGAGAGGACCACTAAAAGAAGGACTTTTATGTTTTCTTGACTTAGAAAAACTTGAAGTTGTTGAAAAATGATGCGCGCATGCAGACAACTGCAATTCCGAACGATCTTTCTAAGGCGCGAAGTTTAATATGTCGAGAAATTATTTGAAACCAGTTAGAATCCTACTAAACGAGAATTAGATTATTCGCCCTCGATTTCTATGAGAAGATAGTTGATTCAGCCTTCGGCCTCATAAACTATCGCCTCATAGAAATCTCGAGCTCATAATCTAATTGCTAATTTTTTTTTTTTTTTCAGATTTTATAAGCACCCCTATGGCACCATGAAATTTCAATGCACTTATATTTAATTGCTCTGTCTCTGAAATATTTTACTCCATGACTATATGCACACCAACCAATGAATTCGTCCTCTACAATCAGCAGACGCAAATAATTTTGGACAATTATATTTCAGTCCCCGCTCTCTGCCACACAAGGCTATGTGCGCGTCGCTCCAATCTCCTCCCAGACGTGGCGCTACCCTAAAGCCGCTGTTCAAAGGGAATTTTGGCTCTGTATACGCGATCACCACCAAGAAATGTTACCCTCGCCCCCACGAGGTGGAAGAAATAGCTTGCTACAAGTTCTCGGTAGAACGTACGGCCGAGCGCGTAGCGTGCGCATGCACGAGAAAACGCCGCGACCGAGACGCGCTTTGCGTTCTTCCTGCGCTGTACACACGGCCGACAGATAAACAAAGAACGATGAGGGGCGTTGAGGTCTGCCCTCTCATCAACTTGTTTAGCTTCAGAACTCTTTAATAATCATACTAATACCTTATTTTGCTCCACTGACTGAATCAATAATTAAAAATAAATATACCAACACCTCAAATTCCTTATTTAATCTTCTGTTAGGAGAGAAATAATGATAAATTTTTAGGCTTTGTAGAAATGCGACGAAAATATTAATCAATCGTTAACAAAAACTCGGAAAAAGATTCCGGAAAGTACTAAGAAACGTCTGTCTCATTAATCACTCATTCTCCAAACTATCTTTTAAGTCGTAAGTAAGTGCAGAGACATTCAAATTAGAAAATGCTTAGAATTACCTCTCCAGTTTAAATAATCGACTGCGAGCAGTCTCTTTCTTTTCCTAGCGTGCGAGGCGACCACACGAATGCAACGCAAAAGAAGATTGATCGGGCGGGGAGAAGCGAGGGCGTGGAAACAAGGGGTTTTTTCCTGTCTCGCCTCATTCCCTTCTCGTTGTTTCCCTAATTTGCATAATTTTAACTTTCCAATCGCGCGCAGAAATTCAGGAACGAACACCGACTGCTCGTAATCTATTTAAATCACTAACTTTGAAATTGTCGATACACAAGAAGTGCACTCAGCCTCGTGCCAAAGAGAGTAAAATACGAGAAGCCAGCCCTGTGTTAGTCTTCAAATGTTCCTGCAGAATGCGCCAGAATACGCCAGAATGACCTTGAACCACCCCAACGTGACGAAATTCTCGATATAACGACCCCCCTCCCACCCTCATTGCAGTACTAGTCATTTTGTACTAAAATACAACGCTGTATATCACTTATGAAAACTTTGAAAACCATAACCAAAGGAATGTACAGACTTACTCTACAGATCCAACACAACAACTTTGTTCCTGTATTAGACTTATGTCTATCAATGCGTTATTTATAAAGGAACACAATTTACATGGCATTCAGAATATTTGTTGTTTATGTATCACAGTTCGTTTCCACTTCACCAATAAACCCCTCTTACTGCAGCATTTTAAATTTTGACCTTCTGACTCAAAATTCCCTTTTCCAATTAACACTACAAAATAAGCACAATTTTAGTTACAAAAAGGAGAAAATCAACTTAATATTCGGCAACCGCGTGATCTCGCGTGAAAAACCTTGAGTTAACACTATATAACGGACAACAGCGCCTTGTAAGAGGCGATTTGCATGATGGCGTCATTTGACTACCAGAATCCTTCACTTTTTCTGTTTCTTATTCTAATCAGGGCAGTTGTTACTTAAACCCCACTGGGAATTCACAATTTAAATAACAAAGAAAAAACGAAAGGAATTCTGGTAGTTGAAGTCAGATGATGACAACGTGCAAATCTGCTATTGTGAAGTAACGTTTTACATTATTCCGCAAAGGCCGCCAGATCGAAATAAACCTTAAAGAGATTCTGATCGGCCTAACTACTTGCGCTAAAAAATATCTCACTCTGGGTACACGTTAGATTATCGTCCCCAATGTCCACACGTAAATTCTCCTTAAGCTTCCTTACCCGCCTCCATAAATTTGTTACTAATACTAGTGAAAAGCATTTAATCATGTTGTAAATATTATTAGACTCAGTTCAGTAGCTCCAGGTACGTAAGAGGTACTTTCCCGCGCTGGCTTCCCCTCTCGCCAATCATCCAATCAGAATCCAGGCCGGGTGCGCTGTAGACCGTGATTACCTGGGAACAGAAAACACAAACCACGTGATTACACAGAACACTCGTTCCCAGGGTCTTCCCATATCCCGTCTTCCAATCTTCCCATTAGCCTTGAAGACTAGTAAACCAATTAGCTACGTGTTTGTTTGGAATATGACTAAACACCATCAAACGACACTGTCAAACAAGTCACGGGTAATCGTACAAGTAGATGGTGCAGAACTGGGTGAAGATGGCCTTTCTGGGAACACAATCACAATATCATTTTTGCAAAAAACCCAGGAATACAATCAACTTCCCCCATTATTATTTTGCTTATTGAGTCAATGACTCGGAGAACAAGATCAATGCAGAAGCGAAGGAGAGGGTCTACCTGTCTACTTTCTCTGTGGTCGTTGGTTGTTTTGTTTGTTTGCTTTTTCAGTCATTCGTTTACTGAAGCTTAAAGCTTGGAACAGACGTACATGTATCTCAAAGTAGAAAGTGCAGTACCAGTGACATTCATTTGAAGGGGATTCAAGGACATCTAACTATGGAAGCCCAAACAAGATAAAAAAGCTCATCCTAAATTTCTCCAGAACTGGAAACATATTATCTGCACCAAGATTACTCTTGCTTCCAAGAGAACTGACGGGGAAAAAGCAACTGTTTCGCACACAGGGGTAAGTGAAACTGTAAGCTCTGACACTGACCTCGTCAGCAAGCAACGAGAGTTCATTCTTGTCTGCAGCATCGTAATCATACAAAACTTTAGCCTTCCTGGTCAGTGATGGCCGAGGGATAGTGTTAGGGTCCAACCCAATGGAGGTGTCAGCAGGAGGTGGTGCAGAGGGAGGTACAAGGGACAAGGCGGCTTCACCTGGGGGACTAAAATAATTCTCTATATCAGACTTTGCCTTTTTGGGGGTCAAATATTGTTCTCCATGTTGGATTTTTCCCCTTTTTTAGGAGAAAATCGAATTCCCCTTTATTTATTTAGGCTTTTATGAGAAAAAAAATGGAATTCTCCAAGACAGACTTAAATAATGAGACCTTCATATCACTAATTCAGACTTGTTCCTTTTTGTCTGGAGACTAAAATAATTCTTCATATCTGACTATCAGCACCCTTGCCCTATCATATGGTTCCAAAGTCTTGGCTATGATTTCTCACAACAAGAGTGTTGGTGGAGGAAAAGTATGACCTCTGAGAGCTGACCTGACCAGCAGAAAGAACCAACTGACTTTCATAAACAACATACACACAGGGCTCATGTTAAGCAAGTGCTCTGAAATTTGTCATGTCACATGTATGTTGTCGTCATTAGGATGTGTCAATTTACAAGTAACTTACAACACCTTCCAAACCCCACAGACTCGGCCAATTTCCTTGGAAAGGTGTAACACCCTTTTCCTGAGCTAAAATATTGAAAGAAGAATGAGTGGCATTGTACCTGGCCAGTTGCTTTTGTAGGTCTGCCATGTATGCATGGCACTGTGCATAATACTGAGCCTGAGCTTCGACAAAATTCATAAGTGCTCTGTGGTGATTGGCCTGAAATACAAACAACAAGGCTCATTATACTGAACTGCCCTGCTGTTATAAGCTCTTAATAATTAAATGATGCACTCACGCAGGCCAGGATAAAACAGTTAGTGATCGTTATTGGTGACTAAAGCACATGAAGTTTTCTGTTTGAAAAGGAGAACTTTTTGTTATTAACAATTTGTTATTGATGATTCTTTTTATCACATAATTTAATTGAGTTACTAATAACTAAATAGTTGTCAACAACTAACTCTCCAGTCCGTGGGGGCTCAAAGACATGCTATGATTTCACTTACATGAGCAGTACTTATTCCATCCAAAAGAAGTTTGGTCACTTCATACTGTCTGTCAAACTCTCCTTGACTCACACGCAAATCTGCCTCAGCCTATGAGAAAGCTACAATGTCAGAATTGAAAAGACAACTTTCTTTACCTGTTCTGCAAAATGAAAAACAAAACCTAGACCTAAAGGGAGGCGGTTGGCTGTATAACCTACATGTACCTCAAAATTCTGAAGGATATAAATTCGGGAAGATTTAGGTACATGTATGTCAAAATTTATCAACAAATCAGTAAAATATATATATATATTTAAGTACATTCTTGTCAAGTCTGAATTTAATCCTAGTGGCCCATCAGGTTAGAAAAAACATGTGTACAGAGGTCAGGATTCCATAGAAAAAAGTGACGAGGATGAATGGGATGTCAGACAATCGCATGGTTGTAAACAACACCATTGAACCTCTGGTTTCCATTTATACATCTGAGCACAGTAAGGCACTGTGTGAGTAAAAACTCTCACCCCAAAAACCTTGCAGCACAGTGAACCTGGTCACGGCTCAAACCCACTTCTCAGTCTGTGTTCGGTCCAGCAAACTAACCATTAGGCCGACATGTTTTCCATACTTGTATCAATCATAACTTTACTGTCTGTCAACCTCAATGGTCAATCAACAGAATAAAGTGTATGTGACTCAACCATGTATTATGGAATCAGGTAGGAAGAAAAGGAATACATGCAGGATTAAGAATAATTTGATGAACTCTGAAAAGGTCACATCAAAGTCAAGCCCTAGCAGCAATCACAGAGTATTAAGAGAAAGAAAAAGAAAACAAAAATTTGTTTGATAGATAGCAGTCATGCTGAATTTGGAGAGCAAATGACTCACCTCATCCAACTCAGTGATTACAACCATGTTCCGTGAGGAATACATCTAGAGTCAGCAAAGAGTTATGGAACACACATATAGAGAATACAAGAAGACACAGGAAAGACATTTATCTGGTAATCATTTAGATTTATTTTTAACAGTATTGAGATTTTTAATTTTGTTTTCAAGCTGGTAGATTTATTTCAATGAGGAACTTGTTGAGTTTAATATACTCCTAGATATATTGTGAGCTTGAAAGAAAATCGTTTTTTGTAAGTCTTAAAATGTACCTCCAGGTGTAGATTTGAGAAAAAACTAAGATGATAAAATTGGAAGCAGGCAACATGATGGTGCAACAAAATTTGAATTTGATTGCCAAATTTAAAACACTAAATAAATTGGACATGTTGTGCATTTGAAATTGTCATTGCCGTACATATCCAGATTTTTAAATAAAGGTTCTATCTGCTCAACATTGTATGCACTCAAGAAGAAAGGATCAATATTTCTCTAAAGGATGTTTTTTTAAGAAAAATAACTTTTACATCAATGTCAATAACATTATCATGTTAATTTGCACTTTTGCTGCTAGATTAACCATGGTAGATGTAGACAGTTAAACCTTTCCATTAACAAGGCCAGAGAATTTAATGAATAAAACTGCTGGTCACGGAAAGAATAGATTAATTACCGAGTAACTTTAATGAATTAGCCCATAAATTATTCGTTTATGGACCAGTACATGCAGCAAGGATTCTTTTAAGAGTGTACTTGTTAGTGCAGAAAGTTAAGACAGATAAATAATAATATCATTATTAGCAGTAGCATTTAATTGGCTGTTCATGTAGTGGTGGATCAATGTAATGTACTAGCACAGTATTGATTTATTTAATAACCGGTTACATGACTGTATAAAACAGCAAGGCCATATCAGGTTACATGCTTTATTTAACTGCTGCCCAACATGATGACAACTCCATTTCTTTTTTAATTTATATATATATAACATGTAAAAGAAAATATTAAGTCTTTTTAAAACATATGTTTAACTGAAATATACTCCAGAGGGAAACTATATTCAAACTTAGAATTTTTTTCCTGGGCTGATCAGTGACTTACAGTTGAATTTGTTGTTAAAATTGATATTTAAGATAATTATGAAGACTTTTTCAGTCATGTGGGTTGAAAGTTACATGTAACATTAATTTTGACAGCCACCACTACATGGACTGTAGTAAGTTGGTAATGATATCATTTAAAGAGATGTATCAGGTTAGAAGTACAAGTAGCAGCTGTTACAGTGCAATTTACCGTGGTTTAACATGATGTGTCAGGGTTAGGCATAAAAACAATAATACAACAAATAAATAAATAAGTTGGACTTAAAGTGTAAGTGACATGAAAAATAATTTCTGCTTATTCGAAAGGGCTTTCAAAATACAGAAGAATGGCATTTTTCTTTTTGAAATATCTTTTTTCGTTTTAGAGATATTGACGTTTTTCTATTATGCAAATTAGATCAGTGATGATGTCATATTGTTTGCAACTAAAAGGTAGAAAATACTGAATAAATGATATCTCTGGAAATATTGAAGCAGTGTTCTTGAAACTTGGCACCACAAATGTGCATCACAAAAGGAACAACATGACACCCTTAGTACTATTGCCATGACAACAGTTTTGCTGCTGGTGCTGTCTTAATAAAATTAACTGAAAGTCCCAGTTTTTGTCTTAAACCAAGAACCATCTACCCTACCCAAAGTAATGATGGCAGTAAGACAGTATGGGAACTATGTCTGTTCCAAGTAGGACTTTTTGTCTTACTATAGAGGTTGCAAATGCGGATTTTTGGTTTTTTGACAGAAAGAGACTGGAACTGAAAGAGTTGCTATGGCAACTGCACTAAGGGTGTCATTTTGTTCCTNGTTGCCATGACAACAGTTTTGCCGCTGGTGCTGTCTTAATAAAAACTGAAATTCCCAGTTTTTGTCTTAAACCAAGAACCATCTACCCTACGCAAAGTAATGATGGGAGTAAGACAGTATGGGAACTATGTCTGTTCCAAGTAGGACTTTTTGTCTCACTATAGAGGTTGCAAATGCGGATTTTTGGTTTTTTGACAGAAAGAGACTGGAACTGAAAGAGTTGCTATGGCAACTGCACTAAGGGTGTCATTTTGTTCCTTTTGTGATGCACATTTGTGGTGCCAAGTTTCAAGAACACTGCTTCAATATTTCCAGAGATATCGTTTATTCAGTATTTTCCACTTTTTAGTTGCAAACAATATGACGTCATCACTAATCTAATTTGCATAATAGAAAAACGTAAATATCTCTAAGACGAAAAACAATATTTCAAAAAGGAAAACGCTATTCTTCTGTATTTTGAAAGGCCTTTCAAATAAGTGGAAATTATTTTTCGTGTCATATACACTTTAAAACAAACACGTAAAACTCTGCGAAAAACAAATTCATCCAGTACCTATGTTATATCGTTGCTCACTTCATTCACAGCTGTACTTATCGTCTAAACATGACTAGCTCCATTTGAAGAAAAATAAATTTCGGTCACTCAGACTGACCTGCTAGCGATCGACGAAACCACTGCGTTTTACGATGCCTCGAATACGAGGTCTTGAAAATTTTTTTTGTCCAAGGGCAGCAATAGTCATTTTATAAATTCCCCCATGTTTTCAAGTATCCTGAACTTAGGGTGATGTCTTTCGAACAAACGAAAATTTCATTCAGCAACTGTCCACCATGTTTACTTGCCAAGATGGCAAAGATGGCGAACGTAGTAACGAAGCTTGGGAAATGTTACATTCACCGCCAAGCGCGGAGAATACAGCGTCCAATTCTTATATTATCCTCTAGAAATTGTACTAAAACAGTGAACACCAGAAATTGTCAATATAAAAAGGGCTGAATGACTCTATTATGCCGTCCATTGGACGTCAATGGAGATGTTTTAAAACTGGTTTTAATTGATTTGTATGTATCTTAATAACGTTCTGTAGTTATCGTATGTACTTTTGTGTCTTTTTTGAATTTCCAGATCTGTAAACTGGTAAGCTAATAGTGGCTATTATATTTTTAGTCAAAAACGACCGGAAATTTACACGAATTAAACTAACATTTTAGAACTGATACAAATACTGTAGTACGAAGTTAAACATTTAGCCGTATTCTAAGTAACCTATATAGCATGCGAGTAAATGTAAGTCAGAAATATTGAACGGTGAAAATGTAACTACATTTTAGGTGGGACATGATGAGCTGAGAGTAGGGAGAGAAAGGCCTGCAGGTACAAGTTGTTAATTAATTAACACACACGGTGCTGCATACATCAGAAACTTATGGGTTTTTGGTTACATGCATACATGTTACATACATTTAACAACTTGACGTCAGTTTTTCATGCGTCTGTCCTGTTCTTGATCATGAATTTCGTCATAACATTGTCAAAGTAGCTGTGGATCCATAATAGAATTTCTGCAGTTATCGTAAAAACATGTTTTGCCGATTTCATTTCCCTCGTGCTGTTTTAGCGCAGGTTATTTGAAATTGCCAACACCCGCTGTACCAAATCTCTTTAAAACTAGTTGACAGTTCCTCGACTGTGCCCTTAGCGTTGGTTGGAACCACAGCGGCCCAAGCTCCAGCTGTGAGATGATCATCTTGCGTAATATTGGTCACAGCGAAAAAGTTCGAAAATATAAGGTAACCCGAAAACACTGACGCCCGGTCAGCGGACCCCCACTACGGACCGGGTCCGCGGACTACCCTGCGGACCACTCCAAAAAAAGAATAACAATAAGAAATAACGATTTCACTTACGGGTTGTCTAATAGATTACTCGTGTCGGCGAAATTTCGAACGTTACATTGTGCAAATGTAACAGACTTGGGTTCAGGCTTGGGCGCAAGTTATATCATTACACATTACTATTTCCTTTGCTGAAGATATACAGTACATGAAAGACCGGGAAGCCTCCGGGAAGCCTCCGGAAAGCCTGGAAATTTGTGCTCTTTCCCCTCCGCCATTTGGTTCAGACCACACTCCCATGGGTTCGTGAACTCGATCCAGGTTTCACTATTTATTCAGCGGAATTACAGATACAAACAAGCTGAAATGACCTAAAAACACATTTCCATAGCCACATTTAGCCGCGAACGGAAGGTAATAACTTTCCTTCTTCCATCGGCATCTCCCTACGCCGAAAACAGCTTTTAGACATTATTTTGGGGGTGGGGGTTTTAGAAACCCAAGTCTGTTACATTTGCCACAGCGTAACGTTTGAAATTTCACTAACTCGAGTAATCCATTTAATAGACAATCCATAAGTGAAATCTTTATTTCTTATTTTTATTCTATTTTTGGGTGGTCCATAAAGGAGGTTCGTAGCGTAGGCCGCGGACCAAGTCCGTAGTGGGGGTCCGCGGACCGGGGGTCCGTGTTTTCGGGTTACCCCGAAAATATAAGAGTCTTAGTTATGAGAATAATTACGATCACTATTAGGAAGTTAAAATACTATATCAGTTTATCAATAATAATACCTTACCTTACTTCCACAGTGTATCGCTTGTTGTCTGACCGCTTACTCTGCTGAAACGAGGCCATTTTAACGAGTTTATCGCTTCCTAGGTTTCCAACTCCTAAGGGAAAGGCCGCGCACTGCAATTCGGAACGACCGATCCGAGAAGCGACAGATCTGAGCTCAAAAATTAAACAACCGGGCGGCCACAAATCCAACGCAGAATCCAAGCACATATACCGTAAATCCTCGAATTAGCGCTCCCTCTCGAATAAGCGCCCCCTTCGAATAAGCGCCCCTCATGTCGGCCAAAATTTAAAATAGGCGCCCGTCCTCGAATAAGCGCCTTCTCCCCTCCCCCCATTTTGTGGACGAGTAATGAGACAACAAAGAATGTATAGTTTTTGTCGTGTAGTATTAGATTTGAACATTGTTTCAGTTTGTGAACACGTTAGTTTGGGGAAAAAAAAATACAAGTACTAACGGTGCCGCGATTTACACTTTAGGATCAGCTTTTTGTGTCGATACACAACTTATGTTGTTGTTTTACGCGCATATGATGTATTGAAAAATGATCATGTCAGGCTACCATTTGGGAAAAATGAAATAAGCGCCCCCCCGCCCCCCCCTCGATTAAGCGCCCCCTTCGAATATGCGCCCCCGTCTTCTCCTAAATTTGAAATAAGCGCCCCGGGCGCTAATTCGAGGATTTACGATATCGTACTTCAAACCGTAGCTTGCTTGCAAAATTTCCAGTCTACACGTTTGTAACGATCCGTGTACATATTCACCGGTACATGTTTACCTCTCTGTGCGATGTGGCACAAAATGTTATCACACGCTGATATTGGGTAAATTTGTATCAATACCTCCCTTGCATACGGCAACTGCGCCCACAGTTCTAGCGGCAGTCAAAACCGAGCTGTCCTACCGACAAGGTAATAGCCTTTTTCTTAGCAGCTAACTAAAAATATAGACAATACTAAGTTGCTCTGGCCTCTTCTTATGCTAAAATCGAGAATTCTGGGTTTAATTAAAAGAGGAACAGCATATTTTGTTCAAAATGCATGAAAATTAGGGTTTGCCACAAGTTGCTCGGCAACTTTTTGGCAACTTTTCGTATTCTGAGCAACTTTTTTTGTTTTGAGCAATTTTTTGCATTCTGAGCAATTTCTAGTTTTCTAGATATCGGAGCAGCTTTTAGTGCTCTAATTGGCCTTGCTTCCATATTTTACAATGTTTCAGTAGACAGTATGTGAATTTCTTTAATTTTTTTAAAATTTTTTTAAAATTGTTTTCAAATTGTTTTAAATTGTTTTAAAAATTTTTTTAAATTTTTTAAAGAATTTTTAAAAATTTTTTTCACTTTTTTTTGAAGTTTTTTAAATTTTTTAAAAAAAATTTAAAAAATTTGATATTGATGCGTAGTATTTACACATACGTATTGTGAACAAATTTATTTAGCGATGCTGGTTACAACGCAAAATTGCACAAAAATGCTTAGAAACGTTATTTTTGTTGTACAGATTGCATATTTTTGCATCAGACCAGATAAAAGAAGAGAGAGACAAAAAAAAGCTTTTGTATCTTTTTTAGCAACTTTTGAGCAACTTTCGTTACAAAAAGCAACTTTTGACTTTTTTTGGAGCACCTTTTTGAAAAATTTCGGGCGACTTTGGGAAATCTCGAGCAACTTGTGGCAAGCCCTAGTGAAAATGACACAACTTTTACCCAACCTGGCGACAGTAATCAAAGAGTGAGTWGCTGAACGAGGGCGACCCATTTTTGGCGCCAAATTAAATGCTTGGAGGCGCAAAATGTCTTGTATTTTTCTTTTTTTTTTTTTTTTTGACAATCTGATATGGGCTTTGGAATTATAAATTACTTTTCGTGAATATTTAATGTCGTCTCCAGTGAGAAAAGTTGTCCAACTCTATGTCATCATACAGTGACGTCAGGACAGTTCAATTTTTTTCCGCCTGCTGAATCTTGATTGGTCAATTCAAATTTCAGGTTCTCCGGCCGTATGCAAGCATCCCCTAGACACCTTTTACTAACTAATGCATTTTAACGGCACCTAACTTTTTTTGGTAATTTTATTCTAGCTCCTGAACCACTCTCATCAGACTTTGGTAGGTATGACAGTGTTCCCCTGTAAAAACACGTGTAACATGTCACTACATTGTGTTGCGATCATTTTCTTACAACATGTTACTTGTTTATTTCAGTCACGTGTATTTATAAGTTGAAGACTACAACCCGCTCACCAAATTTCTTTATCCAAATGTCTCAACAGCAAACTGACGTTAGTATTACTTAGTATTTCGGAAAAACGACGCAGTTGGTTTAGTTTTAAAGACACTTTTCGACTAATTCAGTATTTATCATTAACTGAAAAACTTCGCCGTTTTCTCAAGAAAAAATCTTTACTCGTGGGTTTAATTTTTGAAGGTTCATTTGGTGCATCTCCTCAGATCATCTCTTGGAGAAAGCACACCATTTACTGGCCTCAAGCTTTTCTAAACTTCCGTTTCCAATTTTTCTTTGCAGTTCAAGATCTCCCGTCAGATCCTGAGCAATGTGAGTATGACAGTGTTAACTTTCAAGCTCCTAACAAATCTTTTTCTGAGAGGGAAGTTGAAGAGGGGAATCATAAATACATTTATTGTTTTCATGGGAGCTACATGTATGACGATTTCAACACAGGTGGTGGAAGATAAGACGCGCAAAGGAATCAGAAGGCGTCTGCATACAGGCTAATGCCAAAACCCTGGTTTCATACTACTAATACTTTAGTGCTACTACTTCCTCTTCCCCCATGAATGTAAGAGATGACTGGATGGCTTTTTAATATATTATCGCAATGTGTCTTTGTGGTTTCTTAAAGATGACAAGGTGATGGACGGGATAAAGGAGGCCGGCGAACTTGGAGAAGAATTGTTTGAAAATGGGTTGGCGTACTTCAAGGGGTTAAACAAGATAGTGAAGGAAGACCGGCAGCACAAAAATCGGCATGAAACTGGTAATGTTCACACCACTCTTTAATTTGTAAAATAGTTTCAGCAAAGGAATGGAAAAAATTCTAATTCTGCGACTCTAATTTACGAAACTGACTACAAACAATTTAGAAATCAATCCTCTTCTCTTTCGAGTAGGAGGAATGACGGTAGCATGAAATGCCAGTCATCTCCCGCCTTCAAATTCAGCCTAATCCGCGGTGACGTCTGCCATTTCAGGCCAGGAGAGCGGTGGCCGCGGAGGGGATTCTTATATTAAAGGGTGCAAATGTTCGTCGCGTTATTTAAATCAAACCCTTAGGGAGATCAATCTAGAAAATTAATCAGTTGATTACTCATTGATGTCATTGGTCATCTAGTATTTATGTGCGAGTAATGTCATACTTAGCTATTTGGAAAACGGAAAAAACGCAGGGAATCTCATCAATTATGCCATCCCGTCAGATTCATCCCCTTCCCCAGTATGCATTAAAAATAAATTACTGACTGCAACAAAGACAACTTACGACTACCTCGCTATTTTGCCTCTGCAAAAAATTTCAACAAATGGCATTTTTCACCTCGCCTGAGGGCAGGGGAATTGTGGAAATTGAACAATGATTTCTCAATACCAAAGAATTCGCCACTGAGTAATAATTCGTCAAGTGTCCCATGGACGTTTGTATCGACTTAAAGTGGCATTTGACCTAAAGGAGTGTCTCCCTCGCCCACCTCCCCTCTCCCTACCGAAACAAAAACAAAACATGAGAAATCCATTTACCAGGAGAATGCCGTCAGGGTGAAAAATTGAAATTACCCTCTGGCGGAACCAGCTGGATGACGTCCCTTGAGCTTATTATTGTCTATATTGTTCTTATTTTTCCTATCTCATTATTATTGCTACTCCTTCTTTTCAGCACAAAAACTGCGGAACTTGAAAAATGAGGAATATAGCAAGAAACTGCACGCTGCGCTGCTGGATAACCAGCCCACAGTCAACCCAGGCCTTGCTTAAACTGACCGGCTGTGTTAACCGTCACGCAGCGTGATATCGTTTTGTGGATATATTAGAGTTTTTCCGCACAGCAACCTTACAGATGCAAACATACCCATTATGACATTAGACATGTAAATTTCTTTCTTCATATCCAAACGTCCAAAGAGTTGACCTAGAATTGGGCACATTTCGTACTGAACGCCATGTTTCTTTATTCCAAGACCTCTAGGTCCTGTAGCGAAGAAGAAACAAACAAAGCTATCATGAAAATAAAAAGCGTTGGATTGAATTAGTTAGTCTTATTACAACGATTTTGTAGAGATCTTCTAAATCTGAGAAGCAGCAATTTGTTTGAAAATTTACTGGTTTCATGAGGTATTTGCGCACGCAGCGAGCTGAATAAGACATACAGCAAAGTCACGCCAGTTTACTTCTGTGCGTGCGACTCTTTCTTGAGAGAGACGTACTAGCCATCTCATTTACATGCCTAAAGCCCGGTTTAAACGTCGCATTTTACATGCGCCGAATCATATTGCCGAATTAAGTGCATGTAAAATGCGACGTTTAAATCAATTAAATGCGACATATTTCAATTAAATGCGAGTTCAGTCAAATATTCGACTGATCCAGTCGAATATACGACTGAAGTTCGCCAGTTGATTTAAACGCCGCATTTTACATGTGCCGAATCTAATTCACAAATTATGTTAAATAAATTATGCTAGAATGGGAATTAACACGTCGCCATCGCTCGCGCTCAGCAATTTTATTCGGCAAACAAATGCGACGTTTAAATCAAATCAGCCGAACTTATTCATTCGAGTCGAATAAAATTAGTATTTGATTCGGCGCATGTAAAATGCGACGTTTAAACCGGGCCTAAGGTCGTGAAATGCATATTTGCATTTATAAGGTTCTTTATGCGGAAAAGCTCTATTGAATCCACACGCAGGCTTTTCAGTTTATTATTAAATCTGTTTTCTACTACACTTAACTTTGATTAATTGTAATCAACAACAACTAGCTTAATTTGCGTAATCAGATAAAAATATGCACATTTTTGAGAAAAGCTTTTGTAAGGTAAAAATAAAACAGTAATAACTATTTTGAACATATAATAAGGTTATGGTATAGCTATCAAGCTTCATCGGTTTGATTTGAATGAAGAATATTGCGTAGATCAAAGCATGCAAGATGAAATGAATGTTGCTAATTGAATATTGATCTAATGATTTGCAGAAGTCGTACAAGTTGTCACAGATAAATTGTTAAAAAGAGATTTGGTACAGCGGGTGTTGGCAATTTCAAATAACCTTCGCTAAAACAGCACGTGGAAATGATATCGACAAGACATGTATGTGTGTGACATGTATGTATGTAACATGTATGCGACTTACCAGAAACCCACAGGTTTCTGATATAACTGATTGCAGTACCTTGTGTATATAAATTTCAAAAAATTAAAAGTCGGAACGATATTTTAGGCATATACCTTTGCAGAAGTTAATATAATAAACTTTTGATCACTGAGATGACGCTATTTAGTGAGTAAAACTGTAAACTGTAAACGTAAAACGGACAAATAAATAAATCCACTGTAAAGATCTCTTGGTGTTGTAAAATTTACTATTGAATGCGGAAAGCCAGGGATAACAGTGTACTGAAAATGGGGTATCAAATTTTTTGTCAGGTCATAAATACAGTGGGGGAAAATCACAGATTTTGGTCTTAAATAGGGTAAGGGTTTTGGGAAGCGGGCCGCACACCCCCACCCGATTTTTATGGAAGTAGCCCCCGGATGCACTGATTGCCTTAACGGGCCGATTTACAATGACCCATATGAACCACTCTTATCACTGAGGTAAAGTGGCACGAACGAAATTGCGTTAGGTAAACTGAACTTGGAAGAATTAAAACTCAACTTTATAGGCTAGATGGACTAAAAGTAGTTTCTCGGTCGTTGTTTAGACTTAGTGCGCTCGTCTCCAGATCGAGTGGTCTGGGTTCGAGCCCTGGCCAGGGACATTGTGTTGTGTTCTTGGGCAAGACACTTTACTCTCACAGTGCCTCTCTCCACNACCGGCGAACTTAATGCTGGGGGTAACCCTGCGATGGACTAGCATCCCATCCAGGGGGGAGTAGAAATCCTCCTAGTCGCTTCATGCTACGGAAATCGGGATAAGCTCCGGCCTGATGGGCCACTTGGCTCGCATGCAGACTTTACCTTACCTTTACCTGTTTAGACTTTCACGAAATGGAGCAGCATCGGCCACAGTGACTCGTAAGTGAATGACGTCAGTCACGTACTCTTTTTTAACGGTATATGGGCTTTATTTATCCATAGGATTGCTGTTATCACGCCGTCGTAAGTTTCAACACGCTCATGAAGATGGTTCGAGAAAAATTTCCACTAGTAGACTGGAGAGAAACAAGCCAAATTTCGCTTTCATCTCTGTCTGTCCCCTTCCTGGTGAACACAGTATGAAGGGATGACAACGTCCTCCAGTTTTCTTTCGCCTCGCTAGCCCTGCGAGTTTCTTCCGCGTCAGGTATGAACAGTTCATGAGAGGAACGAAAGGAATTTATAGTTTCTTTTAAATGGTTCTTTATGCTTAGGAGTGGCGGCGAGATTCACACAGAATAATTACTTGCCTTGAATAACCAAAAATCGAACATGGCACGTGAACTTTCCAGTCACCGTAGAAATACACTAAGTGTCTGGTTAAGGAAGTAGCTACTGCTTTCTTCGATTCAAAACGAAAGAAAAATATTTAGCCTAGTTCCTTCTCATTTGACGGAAAAAGCATCGCGACCAACGATTTGTAATGAAAGCGAAAACGTTTACTTCTTGGCTAATCAAAACTACTACAAAATTCTCGAACGTGATTGGCTATCAGCAGCCCGGTTTGAGCATTAATTGGACAGTGTACGCGTCATGCTTGTAATTGGACAGTACGCGTCATTTTGCGCGCGCTGTTGAAGTGCACTTTGTTGAGTAAACTACTGTGTTTTTCAGCATTTATAACGACGTTTAATCGTTCAGCGCTCCATCGATGGTTTGTTCGTTTCTCGAATTTTGTCATAGTTTTGATTAATTGGTAACAGAGCTTCGCGTCATCCAATTCAGTCTGTAATTATACTCGTGATTGACAAATCGGACTCCCGCTTGGCGGTCGTCCGATTTTTTTATCACTCTTATGATAACAGACCGAATTGGACTCCACTCAGTCCTATTACCATTACTAATTAAAGATATTTTTCCTAAGTTGCCGACACATTATGTAGCACACCAAAAAATCTAAAAGTTCATCGGCTCCCGTTTGTACTCGGTACACCGCATGCCAATAAGAGAGCCGACCAACTGTCTTCACCAGAATTTCTAATATACTGAAATATCCCATTTGTTCTTCTTTCCTGGGATCCAAAAATACACCATAAATTGGAAAGATTTCGTCTAACCTTAAAATCTAGGCCGTTTTAAAATAATATGGACCTTAGCAGGGCTGAAACGAGTCCTATAGTAGGCTGAAATAGCTCCTTTACCCAACCTAGTGAATCGAGGCCCAGATTGTGCTCAAATTAAATGGCCATGCGGGGCTCAATCAGGCTTAATTTCGTCAAAGATCTGAATTAACAGCCTACTGTTTGGGTATGAACGTGTTGGCAAACATACCATGCCACTCTCAAATGAAAAGGTCGGGATGCTCGTTGTCTCGCTTAGGGGTATGATTAAAATGAAGGATTCTAGTCTCACTTAGGGTGTTCATGACGAAACGTCACTATTCTTAGCTGTCAAAGTATCTTTAAGGGTACACTCGAAGAAACAACAATAAAAAACGCTCCTATTTCTGTTTTTAGGCTTAATTTCTGCTGGTCTCTCGAGTCCAGTTTACTAGCGCGGGCTCCTTTCTTGAACAGCGGCTGGTGATCGAGCCTATTCTGTTTTAAGCGTATCTTTGAGGGATCAAATAAAGCTTGAGCCCCACCCAGATTGGTCTCCTTCAGGGGTTTAATTCAAATCCTCCGACGAGCATCCCCGATCTTTTCATATGGGAGTCCCCCTCTCCCCCCGATACCTGTATAGTTCGTTTTTAGTGATGAAAAATCTGGAGTCCGGCCATTGCTGCACGTCGAAAATGAATCAGTGCAGTAACTTAAAGATTACATGTTAAAAATGCACATATTTCTTGATTATACCTTAGCATTTAATCGATTTTGGAAAGAATACAAACCAAAGAAAGGCAGGAATGAGGAGACTGAGATCAGTGGTCTTCATTTTTGAGAGTGCTAGCAAAATAATTAGGCTCAAATGCAAATTTGTTACTTGCAAGTAAAATTCTCAATCCAAGATAAAGTTTTTCCAACATTTATTTGAACCTCAGTTATCAGCACATTGATATCGATAAATATCTCATGGTGATGAATTTGGTGACATTGCTTCAGAAATCACCGGAGCCTGGGGCCTCAGTGGGAATTGGTCGGCAGCGATAATAAACGTCCAGAGAGCCAACCGAATAGACAGCCTGGTATGACAGACCATCTTTACACCCACATCCATGGACACTCTAAGAGTTGTGGGAAAAAAAAAAAGATTTAAATCCGTTTTGTTGTCTTAGCAGATGGTATATGGCTGGAGAGGGACTGCGGGAGTTAAGTGTCTTGCCCAAGAATACAAATGCAGAGCAGTAACCCCTGCTAGGCCTTGACTTAATTCGGCCCTCAACAATCGATAATCCAATGTACCAACTATCAGGCCAACGCGCTCCAAATCTATAGTTTAACTCTTAGTTGACCTACCGAATCTCTTTACGGTGGCCAATTCACATTATCAACCCAGTTGATAAAACCAAATTATCTTGACCTAATATAAGCTAAGGGTCATGGCCAATTTGCCAATTCTAAACTTCGATGCCTGAAACGATTAAATATTTTCAGGGACTTTTCACAAACATTTGGTCATCATTCTTTGTTGTACCTTTCTTTTCAACAGACTAGTGCAAAGCTCTCGATATATTAACCCTTAAACATGATGTCTCGCAATAAAATATTTTCAGCCACTTTACAAAAGTATCACTTACAACAAAGTTACAAGACTCGTCCAATCCTCTCTTGTCGTGGCAGGTTCCAATATTGCTGCAGCAACGCTCCTCAGTAGAGTCTCCGGCACAGTCAGAGTCTACATCACAATACTGCGAGGAACAGGTAAGTAAAAAATAAACACA